AAACTACCACACACATGTACTCACACACTGTACAGTGGAATGGTGGCCTGGAAACTACCATACACTGTACAGTAGAATAGTGGCTTGGAAACTACCACATACAAGTACTCACACACTGTACAGTAGAATGGTGGCCTGGAAACTACCACACACATGTACTCACAGACTGTACAGTGGAATGGTGGCCTGGAAACTACCATACACATGTACCCACACACTGTACCGTAGAATGGTGGCTTGGAAACTACCACATACAAGTACTCACACACTGTACAGTGGAATGGTGGCCTGGAAACTACCATACACAATTACCCACACACTGTACAGTAGAATAGTGGCTTGAAAACTACAACATATATGTACTGAAATGTTGTACAGTAGAATGGTGGCTTGGAAACTAGCACACACATGTACTCACACACTGTACAGTAAAACGGTGGCCTGGAAACTACCACACACATGTTACCCACACACTGTACAGTAGAATAGTGGCCTGGAAACAACTACACACATGCACCCACATAATGCACAGTAGAATGGTGGCCTGGAAACTACCACACACATGCACCCACATACTGCACAGTAGAATGGTGGCCTGGAAACTGCCACACACATCACCCACACACTGTACAATAGACTGGTGGCCTGGAAACTACCATACACATGTACCTACACACTGTACAGTAAAATGGTGGCTTAGAAACTACCACACACATGTACCCACACACTGTACAGTGGAATGGTGGCTTGGAAACTATCACACACATGTACCCACACCCTTTACATAGAATGGTGGCCTGGAAACTACCACACACTGTACAATAGAATAGTAGCATGGAAACTACCCCATACATGTACTCACATATTGTACAGTAGAATGGTGGCTTGGAAACTACCACATATATGTACTCACACATCGTACAGTAGAATGGTTGCCTGGAAACTACCACACACATGCACCCACACACTGCACAGTAGAATGGTGGCCTAGAATTGCCACACACATGTACCCAAACACCTTACAGTAGAATGGTGGCCTGGAAACTACCACACACCATACAGTAGAATTGTGGCTTGCAAACTACCATACACATGTACCCACACACTGTACCGTAGAATGGTGGCTTGGAAACTACCACATACATGTACACACACACCATACAGTAGAATGGTGGCTTGGAAACTACCACACACATGCACCCACAGACTGCACAGTAGAATGGTGGCGTGGAAACTACCACACTCTGTACAGTAGTATAGTGGTTTAGAAACTACCACATACATATACTCACATATTGTACAGTAGAATGGTGGCTTGGAACAAATACATACATGTACTCACACACTGTACCGTAGAAAGGTGGCTTGGAAAGTACCACATACAAGTACTCATACACTGTACAGTAGAATGATGGCCTAGAACCTACCACACACATGTACTCACACACTGTACAGTAGAATAGTGGCTTGGAAACTACCACATACATGTACTCACACACTGTACAGTGGAATGGTGGCCTGGAAACTACCATACACATGTACCCACACACTGTACAGTAGAATGGTGGCTTGGAAACTACCACACACTGTACAGTAGAATAGTGACTTGGAAACTACCACATACATGTACTCAAATATTGTACAGTAGAATGGTGGCTTGGAAACTATCACACACTGCACAGTAGAATAGTGGCGTGAAAACTACCACATACATGTACTCACACACCATACAGTAGAATGGTGGCCTGGAAACTACCACACACATGCACCCACAGACTGCACAGTAGAATGGTGGCCTGGAAACTGCCACACTCTGTACAGTAGAATAGTGGCTTAGAAACTACCACATACATGTACTCACATATTGTACAGTAGAATGGTGGCTTGGAAACAACCACATACATGTACTCCCACACTGTACCGTAGAATGGTGGCTTGGAAAGTACCACATACAAGTACTCACATACTGTACAGTAGAATGGTGGCCTAGAACCTACCACACACATGTACTCACACACTGTACAGTAGAATGGTGGCTTGGAAACTACCATACACATGTACTCACACACTGTACCGTAGAATAGTGGCTTGGAAACAACCACATACAAGTACTCACACACTGTACAGTGGAATGGTGGCCTGGAAACTACCATACACATGTACCCACGCACTGTACAGTAGAATGGTGGCTTGGAAACTACCATACACATGTACTCACACACTGTACAGTAGAATGGTTGCCTGGAAACTACCACACACATGTACTCACACACTGTACAGTAGAATAGTGGCTTGAAAACTACAACATACATGTACTCAAATGTTGTACAGTAGAATGGTGGCTTGGAAACTAGCACACACATGTACTCACACACTGTACAATAAAATGGTGGCCTGGAAACTACCACACACATCTTACCCACACACTGTACAGTAGAATAGTGGCCTGGAAACAACCACACACATGCACCCACATAATGCACAGTGGAATGGTGGCCTGGAAACTACCACACACATGCACCCACATACTGCACAGTAGAATGGTGGCCTGGAAACTGCCACACACATCACCCACACACTGTACAGTAGACTGGTGGCCTGGAAACTACCATACACATGTACCTACACACTGTACAGTAAAATGGTGGCTTGGAAACTACCACACACATGTACCCACACACTGTACAGTGGAATGATGGCTTGGAAACTATCACACACATGTACCCACACACTTTACATAGAATGGTGGCCTGGAAACTACCACACACTGTACAATAGAATAGTAGCTTGGAAACTACCCCATACATGTACTCACATATTGTACAGTAGAATGGTGGCTTGGAAACTACCACATACATGTACTCACACATCGTACAGTAGAATGGTTGCCTGGAAACTACCACACACATGCACCCACATACTGCACAGTAGAATGGTGGCCTAGAATCTGCCACACACATGTACCCAAACACCTTACAGTAGAATGGTGGCCTGGAAACTACCACACACTGTACAGTAGAATTGTGGCTTGCAAACTACCACATACATGTACTCACATATTGTACAGTAGAATGGTGGCTTGGAAACTACCACATACATGTACTCACACACTGTACAGTACAATAGTGGCTTGGAAACTACCACGCACATGTACTCACACACTGTACAGTGGAATGGTGGCCTGGAAACTACCATACACATGTACCCACACACTGTACAGTAGAATGGTGGCTTGGAAACTACCACATACATGTACTCACACACCGTACAGTAGAATGGTTGCCTGGAAACTACCACACACATGTACTCACACACTGTACATGGAATGGTGGCGTGGAAACTACCACACACATGTACCCACATACGGTACAGTAGAATGGTGGCTTGGAAACTACCACGCACATGTACTCACACACTGTACAGTGGAATGGTGGCCTGGAAACTACCATACACATGTACCCACACACTGTACAGTAGAATGGTGGCTTGGAAACTACCACATACATGTACTCACACACCGTACAGTAGAATGGTGGCATGGAAACTGCCATACACATGGACCCACACACTGTGCAGTGGAATGGTGGTTTGGAAACTACCGCATACATGCACTCACATATTGTACAGTAGAATGGTGGCCTGGAAACTACCACACACACGTACCCACACACTGCACAATAGAATGGTGGCCTCGAAACTACCACACACATGTACTCACACACTGTACAGTAGAATGGTGGCTTGGAAACTACCACACACATGCACCCACAAACTGCACAGTAGAATGGTGGCCTGGAAACTACCACACTCTGTACAGTAGTATAGTGGCTTGGAAACTACCACATACATGTACTCACATATTGTACAGTAGAATGGTGGCTTGGAACAAATACATACATGTACTCACACACTGCACAGTAGAATGGTGGTCTGGAAACTACCACACTCTGTACAGTAGAATAGTGGCTTAGAAACTACCACATACATGTACTCACATATTGTACAGTAGAATGGTGGCTTGGAAACAACCACATACATGTACTCACACACTGTACCGTAGAATGGTAGCTTGGAAAGTACCACATACAAGTACTCACACACTGTACAGTAGAATAGTGGCCTAGAACCTACCACACACATGTACTCACACACTGTACAGTAGAATGGTGGCTTGGAAACTACCATACACATGTACTAACACACTGTACCGTAGAATAGTGGCTTGGAAACTACCACATACAAGTACTCACACACTGTACAGTGGAATGGTGGCCTGGAAACTACCATACACATGTACCCACGCACTGTACAGTAGAATGGTGGCCTGGAAACTACCACACACATGCACCCACAGACTGCATAGTAGAATGGTGGCCTTGAAACTACCACACACTGTACAGTAGAATGGTGGCTTGGAAACAACCACATACATGTACTCACACACTGTACCGTGGAATGGTGGCTTGGAAACTACCACATACAAGTACTCACACACTGTACAGTAGAATGTTGGCCTGGAAACTACCACACACATGTACTCACACACTGTACAGTGGAATGGTGGCCTGGAAACTACCATACACATGTACCCACACACTGTACAGTAGAATGGTGGCTTGGAAACTACCACACACTATACAGTAGAATAGTGGCTTGGAAACTACCACACACATGTACTCAAATATTGTACAGTAAAATGGTGGCCTGGAAACTACCACACACATGTACCCACACACTGTACAGTAGAATAGTGGCCTGGAAACTACCACACACATGCACCCACATACTGCACAGTAGAATGGTGGCCTGGAAACTGCCACACACATCACCCACACACTGTACTGTACTGTAGAATGGTGGCCTGGAAACTACAACACACACACATGTACCCACACACTGTACAGTAGAATGGTGGCCTGAAATCTACATCACACATGTACTCACACACTTTATAGTGAAACTCCATAGCTCAACACACTTTAATTGTGTCATATTTTTAGTGGGAAAAACTTCAACTCATGCTGTTGTCTTGGCACAGTTATATCTCAGAGGAAAAAGCTATGGATTACATCCATTTATTGCGCAGTTACGGAGTCTGGAAAACCACCAACCTTTGCCAGGTATGAACATCGTTTTGCTTATTATGTTCAGATCTTATATTTGAAGTGTTCACTTACTTTTATGTTTATCTTGTAATAGAGCTACGCTTTTCATTTCATCAATACACTACAAGGTTTATCAACAAAATGAAATTGTGAGCATTTATATGAGCAACCATTATAGAATACATCCAATATCCCCTATTATTTATGTTACAAATATAGGGTAATCAACAATTTACTTCTAGTTTTACTTCACCACTAAAAGTTAACAATTGTCATGGTATATTATGGACTTCAATTGTTGTATACACATTATATAGAGTCATCTATTTTGAGAGCTGAATCGTGGTATTGCGTTTCAAGAACTTGTCACATGGATTTCAAAACCGGTTATCAAGACCTGAACACCAGGGATTTATTTTAGAGTGGAGATGCTTCCATTATCTCCACTCTGATTACGCTCATTAATTCGAAATTGTCTCAGTGGGGATTTATTTGTTATGGTTTTTGGTTTTCAACTGCCTACTTTGATCGACAAATACTCATATATTCATATTGTAGGTATAACACTTGGTGATATTGGACCAAAGCTTGGATATCATAGCAACGATAATGGTTTCCTGGGATTTGATCATGTCAGAATTCCAAGAAGAAATATGCTGATGAAATATTCACAGGTTATTAATTTATTTTGTGGCAGTAGATATATATGAGTACTATCATACACAAATATTCAGATGGTTATATTAACATTAATTCTCTATATTTATTCAGGATACCTTGAGTTTAGAATGTGTGTGAGTAGTTACACACAGTCCCAGATTTATACTGATAAAACTTATTTATATTTCCTGCCAGGTTTCACCTGATGGATTTTATACTAAACCTGTACAAGCAAAACTAACGTACGGCACTATGGTTGGAGTGCGGGTTGAAATTGTGAGTGCTGGTAGTTATATGTTATCGCAAGCTGTCACCATTGCTGTAAGATATAGTGCCGTAAGAAGACAAACTGAGCAGATCAAGGGGTAATATAGAATAATAATAATAATATTAATAATAATAATAATAATTTTATATTAATTGGCATATTTTGTTGTAAACATGAGTAAAGATAATTATTATTATATCCAGGGTTGGTGATTTCTTGATTTTGTAATTATTTGCAGTGAAAAAGAACCCCAGATTTTAGACTATCGTTCTCAACAGTTGAAGCTTTTTCCATATTTGGCTGCTGCATATGCATTTACCTTCACTAGTTTTGGCGTAACAGATCGCTATATTGAAGTCCAAAATGAAATGAATGATGGCAATATGGAATCACTTTCTGAGGTGAGAGATCCCGGGTGAGAGATTCATTCATCCGTGATTGAAATGAGAGAAGATTGGCTGATACGTCATATGAGAGTTTCATTCACCCGTGGTTAAAATGAGAGAAGATTGGCTGATACATCATATGAGAGATTCATGTTCTTGGTTGAAATGAGAGTATGCTACAAATACAAATACAAAGAATTACGTATCTTGAAATTGCATCATCGTGTAAACAGTGCGACAGTTTACATTCGTATTACAGGGTGTGTGTGGGGGGGGGGGGTACTCAAAGTCAGACCTGGTATCAATGATGAAGGATATCTTTTCATAAAAGCGTCTAAACACGTACGTATACCCCTTTTCAAGTGCAGAAACTTAATATCGATACCCTATATACATAGTAAAATCATACTGTTTCCAAGTTGAGGTAACGTGGCAGTCGTCGCGCCGCATCCTGTTCGATATGGGACTCATAGCGACATATACAACGCGTGTAAAATACATTGTTCATTTACATGAAATTCTAACTCGCGCTGCGCGACGACCACCGCGCTTTAATAACACCATTTTTACCCGCTCCTGGGGGCAAGTCAACATGCAATTTGTTCGTTATATCTCTAACAATCTAGCATTTTGACATATTTGACAATCTGATGGATTTTATTTTTCGTAAATCAAATGTAATGAGATGTAATTAAGATTGCGATATTACGTTATTCATATGTATTGTGTGATATTGCGTTATTCATGTGTATTGTGTGATATTACGTTATACATGTGTATTGTGTGATATTACGTTATACATGTGTATTGTGTGACATTGCGTTATTCATGTGTATTGTGTGATATTACGTTATTCATGTGTATTGTGTGATATTACGTTATTCATGTGTATTGTGTGATATTACGTTATTCGTGAGTATTGTGTGATATTACGTTATTCGTGAGTATTGTGTGATATTACGTTATTCGTGATTATATTATAGCATTATCAATACCAGTGGTTTTTATGACGTCATTGCAGCAGATTATTCGCGATAATGTATTACATTATTGAGCATCAAGGCCCTGTTCCATGGATATGAATACAATGTTATTTTCGAAAACGAAGAAGAAACTATTGAAAAAGAAGAGAAATTGTTAGATAACAAGTATTTAATACCAAAAATAGCATCAAATAAAACGGTCCATAACCAATAGCAGCGGATTCCAATATCAAAATCAGACAATATTGTGAGGGAATTGTAGTCTGCTCTGTACGCTAACGCGCGTTCGGTCGAAGCGTTCCATCTAGTACGCGCGTTTCTAGATTCCGCGACTGATGCCGCTGTTCCTGTGGCCTCCTGATTACGCCTTATGTGTTGATGAAGTGAGGTTAACCGAGGATAATTTATCCAAGCAAATGCGATAAACGAAATGGGGGTACAATGTATGTCTACCAGTACAGAGAGATGAATTTGTTCTGTTTTTGTAGTGAGTAGTACTACAAAATTTGCGAAACGAGATCGACGAAAGACCGATGTGACTTGTATTTCCTCAGCGTCGACTCCCGGTAAATGTAACAGTCCGGGCACAGTTTGCATAAATAAATGAAAGTTTCCGTGTTCCTAGGTGTGTATCTGTTTATTTATACAGTGAGATTAAAATCACTGTTGGTTCTCCTTATAGGATAGTTAACACCCACTAGCTTTCCGGTCATGTTCGTTCGCCCGCTTCGAAGTATTCGTCAAATCCCCGCCCTGTCGTGGAATTTAAAATAACTATTACACAGAAAAAACAGTTGCCAATAATATCTACCTTGATGGTTTGAAAACACTAGTGGGATGGGATAACCATGCAACTACGTACATGTACCCTGGGTACGCACCCCTACGCACAGTCGATCCAGCTGGACCACGGCGGCGACCCAGCGTAGCGTAGTGCAAGGCCGCGGTGGACACCGATACGACGTAACAGTCACGGCGTGCCGTACGCTCGGGCGATCACTGCAATGCTACTCCACACCACACATCAGTCACTCATTCACTCGCAATGTAAATGAGTTCAATACAATTATATTTGATGGATTAAAACTAGTTTCTTTCTTAGTTTGCTCATGGAACTATAGGTTTATAGTTCCATGGTTTGTCATATAAGATTGTGGAAACAATTTCCAGAAAGACATTTTAAATTATTCAGCTTCACGGGCCACTGACTGTGAAACTATTCCGTTCACTGTAGATTTTTCTCCAATTTTTTCTGCTTTTTAGAGGCAGCAAATCCACTGGTAATGACAACGCTACAACGCTATGTACGCCTCGTACATATATGTCGCACAAAGTGAGCTTTCGCCCATTATGGGTTGGTGGATCGTTCATTATTGTTTAAGTATTGTGTGTTATTACGTTATTCGTGATTATTGTGTGTTATTACGTTATTCGTGAGTATTGTGTGTTATTACGTTATTCGTGAGTATTGTGTGATATTCTCCAAAAACAGTATACCTGTCTGAATGAATAATTTCATTGAGATGGCAGTGAATATTTCCAATAACTAACCTAAAATTCTATTTGGTTTTCTAGTTACATGCTCTTTCAGCTGGTTTGAAAGCTTTCACATCGTATGTTGTAAATAAAGGAATTGAAGTTTGTCGCTTGTCATGTGGTGGACATGGGTATTCACAAGCAAGTGGATTCCCTGAATTGTACACAATTGCAGCACCCCTCAGTACCTTCGAAGGAGAGAATACAGTTTTGTTGCTGCAAACTGCTAGGTTTATATTTAATTCGCTTCTCTGAATCGCACAAGGGATGTGCAGTCATGACAATATCTTCAGTACATAGTATTCGTATATACAGGGGGGGTGAGGCTATTGCGATGTAAGTCCTGAATATGTCGATGAAAAACTACTGAAACAGTAAATAATACTAAGTGTAGTACTAATATAATACATATTCTGATTTATCTATTTCTAGATACTTAATGAAGTTTACCGCTACTGCAAAACGTGGTGGGGGGCTTCCAGGATTTGTTTTGTATCTGAACCAACGTCAGAAAGGTCAATGCCCTGCTAGAAGTGAAAGTGACTTATTGGATCATGGCTTACTGTCTGATGCATTTGAGCACAGAGCTCGCAGGTAATTTTTAGACTAAATATGTACATATACGTGTGACACAAGACTTGTTTTCATATAATAAGTAAAACAAATTATTGCTAGAAATATGAGATGACATACATCACAAATATCACATTACAGTTGATAAATATTTGTTTGTTTGTATGTTTAATTATTGCAAAGCAATTGATACAAAGGTTAAGATGAAATGAATTCATCTCTTATTCAAACTTAAAATAAACTTTTAGAGAATAGATATTATGTTTTATTACAATTATAAGAAGATCAGCCAAAAAATAAAATTCGCCCTCAATAAAAAAATGGTTTCGTTCAACACTGACGAAATCTATGATCAACATATGTTCGCGATTTTCTTCTCCAATGTTCATTTGAACAATTGGAATATTAATACAAGTCTAATACTGTTATTTTCCAATACACGACTTAAAATATTGATATGAATTGAACTTTGGCAATGAGGCAAAATGATTCTTTAATCATCTGTGTGAATAGTAAAAGACTTGTTGACACCTTGTTTTCTTCGTGTATGGCCAATTCCATGGTGAAAAGCAAGTGACTGTAATATTCTAACATGATGATTTGATAATCCTGTCATCACAACATTTATGAAAATTCATTAGTAACCATCTGTACTATATTTCCTGTGAGTAGATAGTGCATTATGTAAAGTAAAGACGCTACACAACATGCATTTGAGTACACCACATAAATTTGAGTGAACTTTTGGAACAACCTTGTCCAGGGCCTTCATATCTCATAGATTACTGCGAGATAGTAAAATCGGCACAATAATGGTAATCAATAATTTAAATGAATCGAATTTAATCAGCCCACCTAGCTTTCTAATCAATACTTCAATATCCAGCATTATTGTTCCACCATATACCATGTGATTTTGCAGAAACAAATTAAGCATTTTTTAATCGGTTATTTTCATAATAAGATAAGATATGTTATATGATTCAGAGCGTAACTGTAATAGTTTTTACAGATGAAATGATTGAAAGTAGAAGTTACCAATGTAAACTTTCATATACATACCATTCAGTTACCAGGGTATACCTATCCACTTTACAGATTAGTAATGGAGGCTGCACAGAAGATGCAATCCAATATTGGTAAGGGCAACCCACAACATGTTGCATGGAATAATTGTCACATGTATCTATTAAAAGCTGCAAGTGTAAGTATGTAAAGTTGATGACATAATATTAGTGAATGCTTTTCAAGTACATGAGGGTTATATACCCAGTATCCAATATGACCAATTTAATGACCATCGATTAACACATTATCTGAACTGATATGACTGCCATTAATGTACTCAGTCATGCATCTAATAATGTATAACTGTGTACTATTCATGTCAATTATATTATTGCATTGTAAACTAGTTGTGTCCTCGTTTGCATATTACTGTGAACCAGTCGCCCAGCTGTATTATCTATTATGCATTTGTCTATATTGTTTGTCTAGGCACACTGTCATTTTTATGTGGTGCAGACGTTTGTGAAATACATAAACGATACTGAGATGTCGGATGCTGTACGTGATGTTTTGACGTCACTGTGTCAGTTTTATGCCTTGCATGGTATATGGCAAGATGCTGGTGATTTCTTGCAGGTGAGTGAAACTAATCCTTAAATTTGTGAACTGGTCAGAGATATTCACTCTGTTGAAATAGTAAACACCAGATCATGCAAACACTGAAAACACAAAAAGTACACAAATAATGGTTCTTGATTTATATACGAAAATACTGTGTTGCAATAAACAATGAATTAGAGGGTAATTTTAATTTATTAACAATGTTATTATAGGATGGTTATATGAATGGCAAGCAGCTGGACATGGTGCTATCGCTTGTGGGAAAACTCTTAGACAAAATCCGTATTAATGCTGTAGCTTTGGTTGATGCTTTCGATTTCCGTGATGAGATATTGTGCTCTAAGCTTGGTAAATTGA